GGGGTTAAAAGAGAAGTTATTTTCATCGGTTCCATAGTCAGTACAATTTTTTTTAAAGAAGAGAAAGGCCATATAATTTCGAATTAGGCATGATTTAATTTGAAAATATACATAAATGGAAAAACCTGTTTTACTTCAGACCACTAATACGCAACGTTTCCTTTTCATCTTTATTAACTGGTGATTTAAAGTTTTAGCTGGTTTACTATATAATAATACATTCATTGCCCAATTCAGCCTTTTAGTTTGTTTTGTTGTTGCTGTGTACTTGTTTACATTATCCCCCCCCCCCGCCGGATTTATCGCCTTGCTGTGTTGAGTCAAAGATAGTAAATAACTCTTTGGTTGAGTGTATGTCTCTCCGTGTCATTTCCTTTCCCGTGAGGGCACCGTCCAGCTTTGTGTGTAAGTAAAACAAACTTTGCTCCAAATTCTACTTAAACGGGGATCTAGAATCTGTAATCTACATGTACATGTATGTAAAATTAAATAAATTACAACTATTATCTTAATGTATAAGAAATTGAAGTTTCTGTGGTTAGTTGGTTTATTTCGGGAAAAAATAATCGAGTACCAGCTGTTTGACATTGAAGAAGAGAAACAAGGGCAGGCCGAGGTGTGAGCCACGGACTGTTGAAGAACTTGTGAGCGTGAGTGGTAGTCGAGGGGTAAGAGCTTTGTTGTCACTCGTCAGTGCAAGTTGGTCACCGTATGGTGCTAGATAGGGACAGCCCAGTGGAGTAGGCTGTCGCGTGAAATGTGAATTTGTGACTTCTTCATGGACATCCTGCAGTTGGTGATTGCTTCAAGAGGTGGGTGTTTATGTTTAAACTACAGGTGTATATGTAAAATTGTATAAATTAAAACTATTATCTTAACGTAAAATAAATTGAACTTCCTAGCCTATCTTGAAATGGAGGTTAAGCTTCGCTGTTAAAACGTAACGACGCTTTTTTGTCATGATGTAGTATAAGCAGTCATTAAACGTCACATAGATCTAGATTCTAGATCTATTAGTCTGTCTGACTCAACATTGTCCTTTAAACTTAGATAATGATAGAATGCTATTTCTGACCGTACCAGTCTAAAGAGCTAAGATCTATCAGAGATTTCATAAATCATTCCTAAACTTGCAGAATTTATTCTCGGAGTTACGAGTTCGAGCGAAGACAACTGTTAACGAAACAAGTTGCCAAGGGCAGGGGACGTTACTCTCCTTTCTCAAGCTTTGTGTTGTCTGCTGCAAAAGTTTTCAAGAATTTGTATTCGAAATGGGACGACTTCAAAGCTAGAATCTAGAGATCTAGAATCTAGACTAGATCTAGATCTGTAATTTAATCTCGTTCATTACTCTGACAAATCCAGGTCTAGATTCTAGATCTAAGTGATATGACTGTTTTCATGTAATGTAGGGATTTTGTCAGTCAATGTGGAATGGAGAGCTTCCAATGGTGACATTTTCCCAGCCTGTGGAGGCGTCACTTTGACTTTGATCCGACCATCTTCGCTGGATTTTGAAGGACTTGATTCGTTGTTTGCTGTGGCAGCGAAAATCAGATGCTTTATTGGTCAATTTTGCGTGAAGAGTGAGCATTTATTAAGATTTTGCAGTAGGCTATAGGGATTAGCAGTAACTAAGTCTGTTCAGTCAAATTTACTCTGGCAGTGTTGCATAGAGTCATAGACCTACTAGATTTCTACGCAAGGGAGAAGGGAGGAGATACACACGTAAAAAAATTATCCTCTTTGCCCTCTTATTGGCTCTAGATCTAGATTCCTAGATCTAATCTAGATCTAGATCTAGTGCTTTTCCCCCCTCTCATTGCAGCTTGCTCTGTGTCAGTGCAAAGAGCGTTGAAAAAAATCTGGCTGTGATTAGACTACTAGATCTAGATATCTAGATCTAGGCCTATTTGCGGAGTCTTCCTCTGCCTCTTTTTTTCTTTTTCTTTTTTAAAAATAACTAACAACATGAAAAATTGCCTTGCTTCAAATAAAATTGAACTTTCTTTACGTAAATCACACTATAGGCCTAATGGCAAAAGGAACAATTTTGACAACTGTCATTGCTTTCTAGACCCGTTATATTCCAGTCCCAGTTTGTTGTCTTTTTAAAACATAACAAATATTGTATTATCTGCAGGCTTCAATATGGCTGAACAAAGTGAAGTGTCATCCCCTCCAGAGGACGTTACTGAAGTTACAGACAATGCAACAGTACATTCCGATTCTCAGACAGAAGAGCCCAAGGAGGAAAGCGTTTGCGAGGAAGGCAAGGCCACCTCCTGTGGCGTAACTGAGGAAGTTGATACAAGTAGACCAGTTCAACAAACAGAACAACTTAAAAAGGTGATTCTGAATGTTTTTATTTTTAACGACAAGTGTACGTATATAGACTATATAGCTTACTCAGAGGTTTGAAAGGAAAATAAGCAGGCTAACTTTGCCGTTAGCCAACAAACGCCTTTTTTATTCACAGCAGTTTCGAGAAAGATTTTTTGTCATCGCAACCATTTAAAAATAACATTCTTCCGAAATTTGAATTTCAATTTATTAAAAAACTAGATCTAGATCTAGTCATAGTTTCATTTAAATTATTTTGGTGAAGTACTGTAAACTGACCAGGCTTTTGATTTAAAGCAAATAAAAAAATTGACGCTAAATAGAGAAAAAGGCGTTTTGTCAGCTTGCCGCAGAACTGTCCTACCAAACCTATGGCAGTAAATCTACCAAGCAACCAGCCAGTCAAGTTACCAACCCACCACCGGACCAACTGTTCAAACTAAAGTCGAAACTGTTTAAGAAATCCACCTACTCTAGAGGAGAAAAGTGGCTGCCTTATACAGTGTCATTGCAATGATTGTAAGGTAAAAGGTACTAAAGGGAAGAAACTAGAAGTGGTTATATTTGTAATAATAATAAATGATAGATATTTATATATATAGAGCTCAACCCAGATAAAGGTATACGGGCTCTGAACGCTTTGCAATAAGCCTACAATTCAACTGTAACATAGAACATTGTATTCTGACACATTCATCTTATAAATTTAAAAACAGAAATGACTTCAGCTGACATTTGAATGAATCAAAGGATCTGATCTCTCTTAAAGTACAGGTGACTGTCTTATACAGGTGGCCTTTGGAGCAGGCTTGACTGCACTTTTCACTACTCAGGAGGACCGACAGTCCTTTGTCTATCATCCAACACCTCCAACAATATGACTAAATATAATATACATGTATATACAAGCCGGTGCAGCTTTTAAAAATGACCAAAGTCCAATTTTGAATAACCTGCAGCTTAGAAATTCTGTTATTATTAATTAAAATCACTTAAATTCATGTATCAGAACAATTTAAAACCAGGATTTAAAAAAAACTTGGCGTAGGGGACAAAAATTAACATCAACAACAGCAGTAACAATTATAATAGCAGTACCAATTTCAGAAGCAACAGCAGCTGTAACAGTTATGCAACAGACCCATCCAAAGATTACCACTGTAACTAAGGCTGTGCATAATATATAAGTAGCAACTGGAAGTTGTTCTTGTATATGTTTCTGTCCTTGAAGTTGAGATTGTAAGTTATGTAATTATCATTATGGTTATTAATTATTATGATGATGATGGTAATGATGATAATCAATAATCATTGTTGAACATTTTTATTGTTATTAATATTATTTTAAAATTATCATGATACATTATTGCTATTACCATTTTATTGGTAAAGAGTTTAGGTTGCAAGTAACGATTTTTCCTGGTGTCTTTCTCCATTTTTATTGTGAATAATCTTTCTTCAATCATTTCCACAGACTACATTATTCACACCAGCAGACCTGTTCAGATTTCGTCAACTCTTAGTGTCCACGACGGAAAAACTACGTCGTCTGGAGACTGCGGAGGAGAAGAATGAGTCGAGAATCCAGGAGCTTGTTGTCAGTAATCACACGCTGAACAGGGAGAAGGTTTGGAGGAGTTTTGTTTTTTTAATTTGATATTAATTTAATATCAATATTATTATTCTCTTCGACATGGTCTTATGTGTGGATGGTTTGCGAGTTCTTTGGTGCGGTCTGCCCCTTTTTTCCTATCAAACATCTATCATCCTTATCTCTTCTCCTTTTTTGTGTTTGTTACTCTCTTATAACACTTCTAATCTTCAGCACTCATATGACCTAATTGTGTTACAAGTACCGTAAAACTAACTAAAACAATGAAACCGTATAACTCTGTACTACCTAATATAATAAATAGTGCTAAGCTCATACAGCTTGCTGTCAAGCAGGGATATAATGCGCTGTACAATTGTTATTTATTTATTATTCATTATTTATTTTCATCATCATCATCATCATTATTATTATTATTATTATTATTATTATTATTATTATTATTATTATAACTATTATTATTATTTTGTTATCATTATTATTATTATTATTATTATTATTATTATTTATTATTATTATTATTGTTATTATTATTATTATTATTATTATTATTATTATTATTATTATTATCATTAATATTATCATCATTATTGTCATCATCAGTATTATTATCATCATTATTATCATTATTATTATTATTATTATTATTATTATTATTATTATTATTATCATTATTATTATTATCATTATTATTGTTTTAACTACCCTCCACACAAAACAGGAAGATTTGCTACAACAGCTGAAGCTGAAGGAACAAGAGTATGAGCAGAGACTGGAGGACTTGAGACATGAGTGTGAGGACAGGCTGCACCGTGCTGATGTAGACAAGGTCAGTCGTAGATCAGGCTTGAAGGACAAGATAATGATAATGGTGGTGTGATAATGATATCTGAAATGATTTAAACTTTTTTTTAAATTTTACAAATAAATTAATTTTAAAAAAGATTTAAAAATGGTGAAGATAGATCTAGTAAATAATAATAAAAATAATAGTAATAATAATGGTACATGTAATAGGCCCTACTACTTAGGATTATAATATTATAGTAATTGTACCAGTAATAATAGTAATAATAGTAATACTGGTGATAATAATTTTATTTTGTTAGTCTTCCGCTCACTTTGTTTCTACTACATTAATTAATTATAATGGGCCAAGTTTTCAGAGTGAAACAAAAACCAATCTTAAAGCTCAAGGTACATAACCAGCTTATTATCTATGTACATTTTGTTTTTACACGATTACCTCCCTGGTTGTTAGCACCGCAAGGATCAAAATGTCAGTCGTCAATTCAGGTGGAAAGCAAAATGTCAAATGTTCTGATTCGGCGAAGCAGAACTCCACAGAGAGAAAAATCCCAATTTGGATACCCCCCCCCCCCCACCCTTTCCAACCCTTAGCGTGTAACCATTAATCCGAGACAAAAGTTGTGTGTTTTCCTTTCTTTCTTTCGTTAAAACCTGAACACTCTTTGGTCAGTTATCCAGGTCTTGGAAAGTGGTTCAAAATGGTACAAGTTGAAAAAAAAAAAATTTTTGGGAGACAAAAAGTACAAACCAATTCTATATTTTATTTCCTTCATGTGTACTGTTTTCTCAACAACAGACTTCTTCTGAAGTGAAGAAGAAAGTAACAAAAGAAATGCAGAACAGGATGAAGGAAGAGCTGAAACAAATGCAGGTACTGCATGTATAAACTTTTTTATTTTTCTGTAGATTTGTACAATTTTTTTTCCTTTTTCTTTCTTTTTTTTTTCAGGCTTTGTTTTCCTGTTTTGAGTTTGTTCTGTCATATCATGTTCAGATGATCATTTTTAAAAGCTACACTGGCTTATATGTATTATATTTAGTCATATTGTTGTCAGGTGTGGGAAGATAGACAAAGGACTGTCGGTCCTGCGGAGTAGTTGAAAGATGTGGTAAAACCTGCTCCAAAGGCCACCTGTGTAAGACAATCACCTGTACAAATATAACCACTTCCCTTGACACAAGGCTCTATCGTTAAATTTAAAATTTTGTCTCGTTTACGAATGAAATAAAATGCAGTCGAATTTGATCTAATGGCCACGTGTGTATAAGACAATCACCTGTACAAACGGCCACTTTCCATCCCCCCTCCCCACCCCCCATTTTCTTTACATTATAATGACACTGTGTATAATGGCCATCTGATCTGTTTAAGACGGCCTCCTTTTTCCTCGTCATAAGATGACTGTCTTAGACAATTTTAACTGTATTTAGCATACTCTGAATAGGCTAGTTGACAGACATCTTTTGCCATTAAAGCAAGCGGATAAAGAAATAATCAGAAAAGAAATAAACAGCTAAATGAAATTAATTTTGATTAAGGCTTGGGGAGTCTTTGTGATAATAAAATGATGGTCATGTTAAAAAAAAGCTTTTCTTACTTTCCCTCATTCCCTCACTTTCAATCAATTCATCAATCTACTTCTACCCCTCCATCCTCCTTGCCAACACCCTCCTCTCCACCAAATTCTCTCATGTAACACCTCTAATCTTCGGCACTTATATTACCTTATTGTGTTGCAAGTGCCATAAAACGCTTATTAAAACTAAAACTCACCTCACCCCCAGTGGGTCGGGGGGATATAAATAGACCCACTGCTTCGTCTGCAGAAGGTGCAACCCCTTCAAAGGCGAGGTGTCGCACTCGGACCCCAA